AAATCCTGAGCCAGCATTTTGACCATTCCTTTTGGTTGTTAAGTGATGGAAACACAACTCAAACTAGCTGGGGTACAATGGGGAAAGGTTTAGTTGACTAGGGAAGGAGAGCTGGGCAGGTTGTTCTCAGTCCAACCAGAACCCAAACTTGTCCAGCCTCTCTGCACTGGTGTTTCTCTCTCCTTATCAACTTCTTTCTTTTGAATTGGCTTTCTTTACAAGATAGAGGTAGGTCCGGGGCCTCACACCTCCTGGCTTTGCCACCAGAAAGAAAATAAGTCTCTTTTCATAGCTCTAGTTGGAGTCAGATTGGGAACAAGCCTACCCATGGGTCAAATAAAGGTGGCCCCACGGGGAGTTGTTTTGGTTATCTGTTACTGTATAACAAACCACCCTATAACTCCGTGGTTTAAAAACAACAGCCATTTTATTATCTCTCACAATTCAGTGAGTTAGCTGGGCTCAGCAGGGAGGTTCTTTTGCTCCCTGTGGTGTGAGCTAAGGTCATCTGAGGGCTCAATTGGGCTGGAGTATCCAAGATGGCTCACCCAGATGACTGGTGGCTGGTGCTGGCTGGCAGGTGGGAGTTCAGCAGGAGCTGTTAATTAGAGCAGCTCCATTCTCCTCCATGCAGTTTGTGTGTGGCTTGGGCTTCTGTCATCACAGTGGCTATGTTCCAAGAGGGAGAGTCTCAAGAGTGGATTGAAAAAGTTGTCAGTATCAAAATGGAGTCACTAATGTCAAACTCTGACAAATGGAGCCAGAGAAAGTCATGAAGGGAGGGTTCTCACACACATAAGCCTGATAACAAGAACTATCACAAATACCATTGCAACCTTACACAAAAAATGCTTTTGCAAGGACATCTGCCCAGTGACTTTTGCAAAGCCATCCTGCCTGCCTTCCCAGCTTCGTCTTCCACCACATCTCCGTAGAGAAGCCAAGCCTGAGATCACTGATGAGTCTCTTTGGGTTTCCATGAAGTTCTTTCCTTTCCCCAGGCCTTTGTTCAGGTCCTCTTTGTCCCCTAGAATGTCCTTTCCCCTGTCTAACCTGACAAAAGGTGTGGCCCAGATGCCATTTCTTCCATGAGGCCCTCCCTGTTCTATCCGTCCTGCCTCCTTCCTCCCACCAGACCAGTCTGTTTCTTGACCACCATAGTTCTGTTTCTCTGAGTTTATTCCCACCTTCTCGCACTTTTCTCAGTCTCCCTTGTACCTGAGTTATTTCTGTGCACGTCCTATCACCTTTACCGACTTGCAAACTCTTTGATATTCCCTATGGCACCAATCCTTTGTACTTAGAAGCCCTCAATATTCGTTGAAAGAATGAATGCTTTAGTGAATTCATGAGTGGTAATCGTCCATGCAGAGGTCAAAGATGAAATCATTTGCAAAATGAAACTGACTACATGATGGCTAAAGTCCCTCTCTGCTCTAAAATTTGGTATACAAAATATGGTGAATGAGTTCTTCTAGGGAGAAAAGACAGAACAGTTAAGGTCTACATATTAAGCTTTGAGAAACACACTCTGTCAAGAAGGAGGAAAAAGAGAGAGAGAGGAGGAAAGGCAGAAAATGGTAATATCCAAGGAGGAAAATTTTACGAAGAAAGAACTGTTAACGTACCTGAATTGAAGGGAGGCCCAGGGAAAAAAAGATGAAGCACGGCCGCTGGGATTTCACAAGAGGAAGAATGTTTATGAGCTGCTTGAGAGAAGTTTCCAGAGAGTTTGGTGGAAATAAGCTAGACCCCTGGGGTTTAGGAGGGACCAGCCAGTGAGGAAGTGGAGGCACTATGAGAGGGTGGTAATTTCTATATTGGCTCTATGTTGGCCCTTTGGGAATATAAACTGGTGACACTTTGCCATGATGGTGTACAGACTTGGCACATGTGGGTGTGAAAAACGACAGCTCAGAGGCAAGTGAACAAATAACCAGACAGGATTAGCCTGAGCTACCCCGCAGGGGAGAACCCAGGGGAAAACTCTCCCTTCTCAGCCAGATGGCTGCTATATTCCTTACATTCTTTTGTACAATTCCAATCAGGGGACTTTCCTGGATATTTCAGGCAATGTCCCTTATCATTACATGTTTGTACAAACTTCTAGTTGTGATTAGTATTCTTGGGAAATGCCAGTCTGGGCTTCTGTCTTAACTACCAGGTCCGTGCCCTACTGCTGTGGGCAGGAGCAAGACCAATAACTAGTTAATGGTGGAACACGTTGTAGGGCCCAGGGTTAACTAGATAAGCTCTGAAGTTAAGTAGATTCCAAACCAGGCTGTGCCTCTGACTAGCTGTACCAGGCTATTAACCTTCTAAATTTTAGTGTACCATTTATAAAATGGGGATAATAACACCTACCTCATAGAACTGTTGTGCAGGTAACACAAGACGATCCTCTAAAGCATGTCTTTGCACATTTCCAAACAATGGCAAACAGCCAGTAAATATTAACCTCAATACTAAGAAATATCACTTTCGCAATATAAGAAAGTGTGCAGTGGGTGGGATTCTGTGGTAAAGAGAAGTTATTAGTACGAGTGTCACAATCTTTTCAAATCCAGTCATCCCACAACAGGAAGAGCCAAAGTTCTATTTACCTAAAAAATCAAACTTCTCATGGTGACAGCAGCTATTTAAATTTCCTTTAAACATTAAGACAAAAAGGAGATAAAAATTTAGCTTGCTACCAGAGACTCTTGATTCATCACCTTATCTAACCCATAACTACCCCACACATGCTATGAGCTCAAGACTATTTGGAAGCAGCACTAGCAGGGACATCACTAAAAAAAAAAACAACAAACTGACACTCTGATACAAAGATACCGTTCCTTTGAGACATTACTGGAATTTCAGCTTTTTTATTCAAGTCTCCTTTTTCAGAGGTAGCTACTCTCTCTCTCTCACTAAATAGCTATCAGCAAAATCAACCTCACAATCATTTTAAAATGAAATTTTGAGGGGTTTTAAACAGAGGCTCAAACTTCTTTAAAGTCTGGGTCATAATTTCTTCCACTAGAGGGCGACATCTGCTAAAATAAATAAAAGGGATTAATGGCCAAAGGGATTAACACCGGACTTCCTGTGTGAGTTGAAGCCCTGGATCTTGGCTGCTCTCAGTCACCTGCGGAAACTGTAAAACACACAGGTCTCTGGGCTCTAGCCCTGGATGTTCTGAATCAGTAGGAGGAGAGGGCACGAAAGGATGTTGGAAATCTGTTTTTTTTAAAGTTTTCCAAGTTTGGGAACGACTGTTTTAAAGAGAAATGAAAATAAGATTTTAACTCACATCCTCCCATCTCTGCAGACACATTTGGGTCCTGCTGCAGTCTTTGTTGAATCTTATGTATATACATATTTTTACCTTGGTGGAATAGAGGTCCTACCTTTACACTAAGACCATGACTTTCACCTTGTTTAGTGGATGTTATTTAATGCGACTTCCAGAAAGGTCATTTACTGCCCATTTTCAGGTCTTTTATAAGGACAATTCCACTTCGAAGTCACCTTACAAAATATTTTCAATTCTGTTTGTATGTATTAGTGATGCCAGCTTTTGCTTTATCATAAGCAAAATGCTGTCTAAAGCAGCACTTGACTGTGGAGCAAGATGACGGGCAGCGCCGCCATAAATAAAACCAGTGCTTATCAGTCTGAGTTGCCAATAAGTGGAGAAGTGCATGAAGCACGGGGACTGGGTAAGCCTGAGAACAACCTAACTGGTGTATAAGAAATTCTGAGAACATGTAGCAGTGCAATTAATGTCTGGGGATTTGGTCCAACTGAGTATAAGATAAATGTACCCACCTGGCCCAGGCTCCTTGGACTGGACTTTTTTTCTTTCTGGGATCTTTAAAACTGATCTATGAGTCAGATTGAGGTCAGCATTCTCCTTTGTGTTTAATTCGCTGCACTTACAGGGTCACAGTGACATTTTGAGTTGTGAAAGAGCTGCCAGAGTTCCAGCAGAGCATGTTCCCCTCCTAGACTTGCTGTTTGAGAAAAAGTGCTGGAGAAAGCATGTGAAAGCGGCATTCAGTCAAGCTTCTCTTATAACTGAAGCACGTGATCTTACAGATTTTGTTGTCAGCTGGCAAGGTGGACAGGGAATCATTAAAGACTCCTCCCTGGATACCTGTCCACACTGCTCAGGAGTGCTGGGGCCTCTGTTTTGGCACATCTCCCTGTCAATCCCAAACCTCTCTGCATTTAGACATGCAGGTAACACTTTTCAAAATGTATCCACTGCTTTCACAGTTGCCAAGATTTGTCCCACTCTTAAACTGGTGTATTGAATTCTCTAGCATGAGTAGAGATTAGTCCCTTAACTGTAATCCAGGCATATGGGGTTGGGAATGGGGAGCTCTATTTATAGGATTTGTGCTTACTATGAGCATTTTTGGATAGGATTGATCCATGGTGCACACAGACTGGACATCTGGTCAGTCCCCTACTTCTTCTTTGCTGTTTTCTCTAGCATTGCTTAGTATTTTCCCCAAATCCTGAAAAATCTTAGGCTGTCATATGAGCAAGTCAGGAAAAATTAGAGAAGTTGTTATCTCCTTTTTCTTTTTCCTCCTAGGATACGTAAGATACCTTTTCTTGTGCACTGAATCTTACTCTTTTGTTGCAAACATATCCTGCCTCTCTCCTTCCGTCTCAGCGGAGGGCAGCTTGGGACCCCATAAGCAAACAGCTGCAAGCTCTTTAATTCCAATTAATAACCCATAATCCTCACATCGACCTTGTGCAGTCCTCAACCCATCCATTCCCTCAATGAGTTGTGACACATGCCATCTCAAGCTTCACGAAGTCACATCTACAAATGTCACATAAACACACATGACACAAGTAGCTGAAATGGTTTTCCTTCATACAATTTTTGGTGAATGACTTGGCAGTGGTTTATTCCAAAGGGAACTGATGGCTGCTGGACACGATTTGAGGGGAATTCCTGAGGGCAGAGAAACGTTAGAAAGGGGCCTTCGGGCTAGATGAGGCACAACCGGGGGTGTGAACTCTGCGACTGCCCTGCTCAGGGCAGAGACTCCGTGTTTGCTGGAAACCCCTGCCAGCTGCTGAAACCATCGCGCCAAAGGGCGTCTCAGTCAACCTCGCCCATGACTGCCCCACGGCGGGAAGACGAAAAGGGGGGTTTCTGGGCACCCGGTACAGCCCGTGTCCCGGGTCCCTCGCCTGGGGGGTACGGGTTGTCGGTCTTGCCCAGCCTCGGACGAGCTTCTTACCTAGACCCTTCCCCGCTCCTGGACGCCGGACGCCGAGGCCTGGTCCTGCTCCTCAGCCGCCGCGTCCGCAGGACCCGAGCCAGTCAGAGGCCCCGCTCGTATAACTTCG